TCGAAGGAGACTACAAGCAGTTCTGCAAGCCAGAGGTTGTCCTACACCATATTAGTCACGGTAATGTGTTTTTTGTTGGGTGTTTCCATATTTTTGTCCATCCCCTTTATTTAGAACAGCTGACAACATAGAGATGCCTAGGTGAAAATGCCACTTGGCGGAAATTTTGTGTACCCTAGTAAGGATTGCACCCTTTTGGTGTTACTCCGCAGCCACCCCTACTACCGGACCTCCTATTTTGCATCATTCTGATTCTGCAAACTTGAGAGTGACTTAGAATGTAGACGCGTTACTAGATAACGATCGGAAAAAGGAAACAGGTTCCTATGGCAACGAATCAAACGCAAAAACAAAGGAAATGTGGGGAAACGTTGTTTTCTGTGGTCCGTGCCACGGCCGTTTCTACACAACGGTGCTACCATCACGTCTGTGTAGCAACGAATCAACACTAAACGATAGCAAAACTGTTAGAAAAGGTGTTTTCTACGCGGTACGTACCAAGAGCTTTTAGGCGGGACAAGATTTAGAACTTATATCAGTTCAAGTGACTAGACTGCCGTGGTAGCGAATACTGGTAGAAATAGGGCCAAATCTGCTGTACTGACCCTGGATTGACAGAGGCCTTCTGTATAATATACATAGAAATAGGAATTAAGATTAAATTTGTAAATATATGTTAACACTGAAAATGGACTTACTAACACAGACTATGACTGACAAATGACGGACCCGACCTCTCGTCAGAGAGGGCGCCCAAATGAACAGGACAGTAACTTTCATATAAGAAAAAAGAAAAAAAATCTGGTCATGAGCCCCAGTCGGGGTTCGACACCAAGACAGCCAGACTGACGGACCGTCAGTCGCAATGTGACTTGGACTTGGAACTTAGATCAAACCCGTGTGGAGGCGAGGTCGAATACCTCCACCGTGACCCTGCGAGTAGTAGGAGGCGACGAGAAAGGAAGTCTCAGTTTTGAGACACTGAAATGTGATCGCGAGTCCCAACACACTCGGACCCGAGAAAGACTGCGTTGGCAAGGGCCAGCAGGATATACAAAAGACAGACCCGTTCTCTCGTCAGAGAGGGCGCCCTACAAAAACAAGACCGTAACTGTCAAAGAGTAATAAATATCTGGTCATGAGCCCCCGATGGGGCTCGACACCAAGACTGACTGTCTGTCTGCCTGTCTCTCTGACCTGACTGACTGACTGACTGACTGACTGACTGACCGACGGACCGTCAGTCCCAATGTGACTTTAATTTTGCTTACATCTGTTGTGGGATATGTGCCAGACGGTAAGGACGTAAGTGGAGAGCAGTGTTAAAATCCGTTATCAGGAAACGACTGGTGAAGTGTGAGAAGACTTTATGTGTGCTGTAGTTACACTGATATTTGGAGTGTGTAATTTAGTGAGTCAGTGAAGAGAAAACTAGGAGGTTGGCATGAAATGACCGTCAGCCTGGGAGTTAGAGAACTGCAGTTCAGTCGTTGTGAGCTACTGCTTGTAAAAGCTGCTAGCTGAGGCACGGGTATAGTTCGGGAAGCCGTTGGAAGCCGTTACCAGGCAACGGCTAGTGGAGACTTTAATAGACTAAGGACACTACTCATTGTGTGACAATGATCTGTAAAGTGTAGTCACGAGTCGTGAGTGTATAAGTGGTCAATAAATCCAGTGTCCAAACCAAAACCCCGACAAGAGACAATCACGTGATTTGTTTTTATGATGAACCTTCATGCCCCCTATTGGATTATGTGTTCTGACACTGGCTAAAATGCTGAATTTGTTTTAGCAACACTAGTACTCATCTCAAAGAAATATGAAAAGTTGATGTGGACTGGATTTATGATATGACAGAATATTGGCCTGCTCTCATAAACACGAATGAATACTATTCTGGAACGTGATATTCTGTAGCCTGGTGAAAGTTTACTGAAATTCTGAGGAACATACTGTATCTATTTCCAGTTCAAGCTTAGCTCTGCTTTCCTTTCTACTATAACTTGCTTTGTTTACTCTTCGAACCTGAAGATGGAGGGAGTATACGTTTGCGAAGCGTCAGTGAACTTCTACCAGACTGTGTGACGCAACATTTCAGTTGCCGCCCTGAGAATCTGAAATTCAACAAAAATATTTGGTTTTCATAATTGGCGGAGAATTTTTTGATCAGTTGAGGAACTATTAGCTTTTTAATATTTTTCTTCTCCTTAGAGTCAGCCACACGAACAGATGTTTCGAAATATAACTTGTTCCTTAAAATTTAGAATATGGGTTCTGGGAGCTGATGAAATTAGATTTGGACAGATATCTGGACAGAGTTGTTTAAGTAGCCTGCTAATTCACCCAGTGCTGGATTTGAGGTTCTCACAGCGGTAACTATAAAAATTACTTTCTTTTGGTATGTGACACCGTGTAGTTTAGTAGGGATTTACTAGCGATTAGAAGGAGTATACTGCTTCCATCTTCAGGGTCGAAAGTAAGATAAGCAAGTAAACAGAAAACAGGACACAACGATAAATTTCCGAGCGAATGACCGGAATCACATTTCAGATGATAATAATTGTTCGTAGTCACTCCTGTGAGAAGCTGATTCGTTCTTTCCAGTTGCTTGCTTGGCTTACTCTTCTACCCTGAAGATGGAAGCAATATGTTCCTCCGAATCTTCAGCACACTTCCACAAAACTGCACAGTGTCACATCCCAGAAGATAATGCAATTAAATATTTCAATTCTGTGGACTGCCCGAAAAAGGACAGGACATAAATTGTGTGGGTAGCCTTACGGAAGAAAACTTGTCACACTTGAATTTCCGCCCGGCATATGAGTTCCGGAAGAATGTTGAAAATATAGTCCAATAAGTTTGTAATGAGGGCCGGTCACGGTAGCCCAGCGGTCTAAGACATGCACTGTGTTCGCTCGCTCGGAAGCCTGGATCATGGGTTCGAATCCCACTCAGAGCATGGATGTTTGTGTGCGTTTTTCTGTGTTTGTGTACAGTTAGAGACCTTGCGACGAGCTGATCACCCACCCAAGGAGTCCTACCGTATGTCTATGATCTAGTAAAACTGAAGTGAAACGGAGGTTTTCATGCAGGTAAGCCTAGGCCCAAATGAGGACTGTAGCGCCAATGAAAAAAAAAAGTTTGTAATGATGATATAACTGCCTGCTTCATCAGTTAACGATGATGCAACTTCGTCCACGACTACAATATTGAAAACATTGAAACCAGAATCCTCATAATCCCGTTAGTACCAAACATGCGAGAACTGAAAACAAAAAATATTGTTTTGATGAGGCAGTTTTGAGAGACCTTTTGTTGTGCTCGGGCCGAGTGAAGGTGTGAGTAGGATGGTACAGAAGATGGGTAAAAGCGAGGGGAGGGAGACGCACAGTAGGACTTGAAGCAGCCACTAAAAGGGATGAGATAATTGAGACATATATACAAAGGGGTTGAAAAGAATGGCGCGTTGGGTCAATAACGTAATTAATTTATGTGGTCTTCCAGCCCTTTTACTCCATCCTTATGCTGTCGTTGCTTCAGCTCCTTCTTTTGTTTTAGTTTTCTATTGCCTACGGTAGGCCATGTAGGCAAGAGCTCTGATGATGTTTATTGTTCTCTGTGAACCCGTATCTTTGAAGATGACAAGTTCACTCTTGAAGTTTTCTGAAAGAATACAATAGATAGATGGCCTATTACAGTTCTGAGATTTATGGAAGGCTGTCATTGATTCTATTGTTATTTGTGGCCTAGGAAATGAAATCTGTGGCTTGAAATACCACGACAAACTACAGTTGACTTTTCTTGACAGTGCAACCATACAGCGATCTTAGGGTTATGGGCTGGGCGGGAGGAGAGAGCCCTGCCCATTCCGTCTGAGTGTGCCCTCCGAAAGCAAGATTCTTTGTACTTTTAGACGCAGAGAAATGCAAGTGACATTTTGCTAATTCGAAACGGTAGGCTTATCAGAAGCACGCAAACCACTGATGTCTCTTCAGATAATACTGAATGCAGTACAACGCACTTGCAACGAAATATTTCGCATAGAGGTAAAGCTCCAGAGTAGTATTTGGGAGATTCTGGGCTCGAATCTGGGCTATGACACCGGCTAATCTGACTGGGATTTATCCTGGTATTTCTCAGACTCTTCATGAAAATTCAAAGATGTTACCTCTATCAGGTCAGGATTGTTTGCCTCCAAATCATTTCCAGTTAATCATTAATCTTACTATCTTAAGCTATATATTCTTGATAATGACAGTACAGTGAAATAATCCACACGTCACGGACAGGAATGAAGTTGGTCTCACTCATATGAAGGAGAAGTTTCCATGACTTGACAAGGGAGAAACCATCTTCATTGTTCATGTTTTGAAATGGAGATCAATCTGTACTAATATCTTTATGTAGTTCTGTGGTTTTCAACCTGTGTGTCGCGAGATTTGAAGACTAGAGTGATTACAAGGATTAAATATTTATTTGAAGAAAAAAATTCAATTTTTATTTGTAAAAACTTCTATTTCTCTGCTTTGCAATACAGTTTATGCAAGAAATAAGAAGAGCCGGAGTAGCTCAGTCGGTTTAGCTACGGGCCAAATTCTCGAGGTTCGATTCTCAGGAAGGGCAAGAAATTTTTCTTCGCTCCACAGCGTCCAGACCGGCCCTGGGGCCCACCCAGCCTCCTATCCAATGGATATCGGTATTCTTACCCCAGGGTTAAAACGGCCGGTAGTGAATCAGACCACTCATCTCCATCCAGTGCCGAAGTCAAGAAAGATGGAGCTATACCTGCACTCCACCATGCGTCCTTGGTTCTAAATTAATTAAGCACTGCGAACATTTTGCCTTTACCTGTATTTTTATGATAAACCTTAGTTCTCTAATTCTAGTGCGAAGGAAAAGGAAGTTGAATATTCCAAGTATATCACGGGCAGCCGGTGGTTGGGAACCGCTGACGTAGTTTTGCGTACAGGAGAGTAGTGACATGTGATTTATGTCTGCAGATCCTGAGCGGGAACAGCGACACGGCGACCGTGGTCAGCCACCGTCTGATGCCTCCAGTTTATGCCAGCAAGGTCAGAGTTCTGCCCTATAGCGTCCACAGGAGAACAGTTTGTCTTCGCGTGGAATTCCGCGGTTGTCTCGCCGAGGGTAAGTGTTCTCTTTTGTACCTTGTGTCACCCATTTACACATTTGTAATTACATATTCAAGTATAAAGGGTATTTAAATTATTTGTATCTTTCCCTTATATTCGACAAACTTTTCATCGAGTGAGATTTTCTCTATTCTCTTCTGTGACGTCGTGTAATTTTGTATATTGATACCAGTGTTTCAAAAGAATCTACTGTATATATCTCTTCTCTTGCCCTGAAGACAGAGGCAGCAGTTCCTCCGAAAAGTTTGTATCTTACTACCAAACTACACTGCGTTACATCTCAGAAAATCTCATAGTGTTGTGTCCGGCTTGTGGTGCTTACCATTAAAATTGCAGGGATAATGTAATGCAAACAAATTATTTCGTTAATCAATTCAGAACATAATTTCATCCAAGATAGACCATCATACGGCGATTCTTGAGGAATGCACAATTGGTGAAGGAGTATATATAATATTGTCACTATTTAGGGGTGACTATAGAAGGGGTACAGATTGGAGAATGGATTTATTGACCACCTACACACACCATTCGGAACTACAGCACTACAGCTAATTTCTACAGTTCACAAAACACAAGAGCGCCCGTTAAGCCTTTTGCAGTCAGCTGTGTTTTCCCCAGCCTTTCACTAACAACGGCTTCTAACAGTGGAGATTCTTCAACTTCACAGTTCCAAGGCCGTTCTTTATAGTCGCCCGTGCCGAACTCTTTGTCAACTCTCAACTTAACCGTAGTACTACCTCTTCTCAGCCTCCCTCGAAGAGCTCAACTGAACTCGTTGCTTCAAACCGCCCTGCTCGGCACGGACCACATAGAAAACACCCAATTTCATATAGTAAGTCTATTTCGTTACGCGGTATTCTTTTCCTCTAGAACGTGTTTGCTGAGCAGTTGCTCGGAAACAGTCGTTGTATATTCGCCTATTTCGCAGGCGTTTCATAGCAACGGCTGTGCACGCTGCTATATTAAGTCGCTTCAGACCAAGATTCAACCAACAGAAGTTTTATACTTGATCATAATATTATACTGCAACATCCTGTTGCGCTCTATATTTGCGCTGGAACTCTTTGCCGTCTTTATGCAACTTCGTCGGTATGTTAATGCTCACTGTCTTCATCTCTTTATTATATAACGCTACATTTTTCGACCTCACTGGCCATCATTAAGTGTATAAAATATTGGGTAATAGCAGGGAAGTAGTTTCCTTCAGTTCATGAACTTACGCACCTAAAGATGGCTAATTAAGCCGAAACACATAGTGTTGTGGAGTGAAGGTACGAAGACATGTGAATACTCGTATTAAAATATCAAAGAAGTTGCACAAAGACGTCAAAGAGTAGGAATGCAAAGTTTTTTACTTGCTTTGTAGCTTATACGCACTCCATCAACATTCATATATGTATTTCTCAATATTCCCCTAATGATGGCCTACCTGGGCCGAAACATGTTGTGAATTGATTAATAAAGACACTTGGTTGTGTGATGGTAATCCCACCATTCCAAATCCCAGAATATTCTTCTTTGAAGATTTCATATGTATAATTAATTTTCTGAAGAAACTCCTTACAGTTACGTTGAAAGTGGTAATATTATTCATACGAAACTCTGCGATGTTACTGGAAGCGTAACTTTGTTATTCCTACGTGAGATTTGTTTTTCTCACAGCAGTGAATATAAAGTTCACGGTCTTCTGGGATATTACGCCGTGTAGTGTGGTAGAAACCTAACGTTTCAGAGAAACCTGGTGCTTTTGTCTTCAGGGTAAAAGTACCACCATTGTTACTCCGTGTTTCTGTCTCTAAGATTTACTTTACCAACGAAACCGTAAAGCGACGTATAACTACAATTTGCATCTAGAGTCAGATCATTTTGTGTCTTTCTATGTTGGTTATTTAACGATGCTTTCAGTATCTATAATATAGAGAGTCGAATGTCGGGTTGATGAATGATGAATTGGAAAGGACGTGGAAGGAAATGGTTGCGGTTTAATCGAGATAGAGCTCAGGTTTTAGCTTGAATGGACTGAGGAAAACTACGAAAAATGTTAACTGAAGTTACAGGTTTTCCACAGAGATTCAAACCGAACTCCTTTTTGGATTTCGTAATGTGAATAATTGAATCGAATCCCCATTCTGAATGTTGTCCAACGAGAGACAAACGCCAAAGGAAGGAGATTTTATGGGCGTTCGTTATAGCGGCACACGAACTTAATTTACTTACTTACTTAACCAGTCAACCGCCTCTGTGGTCTAGTGGTCAACGTCTCTGGCTACAGAGCCAGAGGTCCGGGTCCGATTCCCGGCGCTACGACATTTTTTCTGAGAAGTAGCGGGTCTGGAACGGGGTCCACTCAGCCTCGTGATGATAATTGAGGATCTGTTTCAAGGAAATGGCGGCTCCGGTGTAGAAAACCGAAATTAACGGCCGTGGGGATTCGTTGCGCTGACCACGCGACACTCTCTATCCGCAAAAGTTGGCACTAAACTTCGCCGACAAACGGCGGTCGCTCTGTCGGTATAGTTCGCTTGTGGACTAAAATCACCGAGTTTGTTTTTTGTTTCTTTACTTAACGAGTCAAGAGCTGAGTTAGCAACGAATCCCACAGCTTAATGATCTAGAATACGGCAAGGTGTTACGTCATCTGGGCCAACGTTAAGTCAGAGGCTGCTAACCGACTGACAATGAAAACAAAATGTTCTTTGTCGGTATTATGAAAGTTCTATAATCGCCTTGCTCTAATCCTGTTAATTCGTAAAAAAAATCTTCTTAAAATTAAGATCACTTCCTACAAAAAAACTTTATTTTTACAGCGTGTGAGTGATATGTTCCGAGAAGTTACTCCTCTGGTTTGCCGACACGTTACAATATTATCCTCATTGACATAACGTTCAAAATAATTTACTAATTTACTAATTTACATCATTAAATATCCTACATGAGACTACTAATCCTTCTGTTAGTGGAATTCTGCTCGTGTTGAATGACAGTTCACTATCACAGATCAGTTTAATTACACCAATGTGCAAGTTAACAATTTTCATAATATGTTTAATTGTTTCATCATATTTTGGAGATTGCATTTGTCATAATGTAATTCTACCATAATTACTTGTACCGTTGAAATATTTTAAAGTTAATCTTGTATTTAACACCACGTTTTGGTGGTGATAATACTAAGAGAATTTCGAGATAAGCAGAGAAGACGTAAACGAAATATGAATAATACCCAAGTTAAATAAGTTTACATTAAATGTACCACTTGCTTTTTGAAGGGATATTAATTGAGTACACGTCAAGGAATTTATATGAATGCGCTGCTGAGCTTCAGCAGCATGTCTTCACAAATAGAAAGAGACGCCAGCCAGCAGGTGCTTGTTTCTATCTCGAGTCGTATTTCATTCACGTTCTTGGAGACTAATAATATCTGCAAGACAAATTGTGAACACTAGAGGGCGTACATTAACTAACTGCTCCTTAATCAGTGGTTATGAAGTGGAACTAAACTGGGACTGAGGTTATATTATGCTGCAGTAATAATTGTTATAATACAGTATTACCCATAAAATTTTTATTTTGAATATTAACCCACAAGAGAAAATTATCGACGTGAAAGGGACTAAATACGTAACATGAACCTTATCTAATGAGGATCATTTTCATGGAATTCTTGTGTTACAAAACAAAGAACTTAAAATTCTCGAATTTAAAATAAATAAATTCTTTGGTCAATGTACAGCCTTCATATCTGGAAAATGTTGTCTCTTTCAAACAGTGAATTCGAATCAGAATATGTAACGTTGAATTCAATTTTTAATTTAAATATGTACTTAAACTAATATTCTTAAAAAATAAAATAATATAGCCTCCTAAGTAATAAAGAATTTAAAGATATAGGAAGAAGCGTCCAGTCTGCCATAACATTTCGTCAAACATGTTGAGCCGTGCTGAAGGTCAGCTAGCTCTTGTGCGTGACGTCATGGCGCCAGCAATTCCCATATTCCATCTTCACCCCCATATGCTGACGTATTATTTTTGTGATTGTCTATGTATCACGTGACCTATCCCCCTTCCGATGTCGAGGAAAGAAAAAAGACCTTCGCAGTCGGGGACGCTACGTAGCGAAGAGTTTCGTAATCTTTTTTACAGGGACGGTAGGACCCCTTGGATGAATGATCAGCCCGTCGCAAGGCCGCTACCTATGCACGAACAGAAACACAGAATAAACGCACACATAGACATCCATGCTTTTGAGTCAGATTCGAACCCACGATCCCATTGTTCGAGAGAGAGAAGACAATTCATGCCTGCGGACACTGCAATCGGCTCCAGTACCTGTACCTTGCAATAAATTCCAAACAAGTCTGTGTCGTAATCACTTTGGCATTGCATCCGCCATTATTCTAATGAGTGTGCTTGCTACTCACTCGGACATGGAAAATAAAACCGGAAACTTCTCTGGTAAGAAGTCAGCTCGTCCGAAATGACGGTCTGCCTTTCCTCACTGAGCGCCATCCCACACAGTGCACAACCGCAGTCGCTGTAATTTCCGTGTTTGGCGCCATCAAGTAAAGTGGACGAAGGTGTTCATTTATTATTCATGCAGCATATAAACGTCTTCATGCATGGGAAATGGAGGTTAAGTCTTCGCCTTCGCCCATCGCCGCTGTCCTTGTTGAAACGGCCTTGATTGTTCTGCTGGAGGTGACGTGATGACTATGGCGGGTCTGTTTTATGTATCATCTAAAGTAAACTCCACGGAGAAGTGACCGTCTTCAGTAGCTAATAGGATATAACAATTTTCACCACCTTTTCCCAGTAATATGTAAGAAGTAATATTTTGTAATTAAATTGAGGACGCTGATAATAAAAATTAACAGCCAAATTTTGGAGCCGGGATAAAGCGGTCGGTATAGCGACAGGCTGCTGGCTCGATGACTGAGGGTTCGGAGTTCGAGTCCCGGTAAGGTCAAGAATTGTCTTCTCTCCACGTCATCC